TTCCAATTAAAAATACTTCTTTTATTTCTAAACCACTCTTTACTTATTTTAAAATTCAAACTTGATTTCTAACATAAAATCTTTTAACTACTAAATTATTTCTAAATGACAAAAAAAAAAAAGAAGCAATCCGCAGTACCATCCAATCCCTAAATGAGCAGTGCTAGGGGTACTCGCTTTCTGCACTCTCCGGCCAACACTTCCCCTTTCATTGGGCCACGTAAGCTTCTTAAAAACCTTTCAGCGCAATCTCTCGTGAACCAAAATAACGTGGCCCAATAAAAGAGAAAGTGTTGGCCGGAGAGTTCAGAAAGCGAGTGCCCCTAGCATTGCTCTCCCTAAATTAGTTGTACCAATAAAATCTCCAAACTTGACTTAAAAAATTAAAATACCCAAATTAGGCTCTAATTTTTGTTTTTGTTTTTGTTTTTTCTTTTTTTCTAAAGTAATGTGTGCCCTTCAAATGGCTGTAATGTGTATTTCAACTAATAAAAATTTAACAACTCACACTCACTAATTTGAAATGCATATTAAGTATATATATATATATGTGATGAACTGTAAGTATATATTTTTGAAAATAGGCAACGAGTTTATAGTAATATAGAATAAAATTATTAAACTTTGTGAAAGTTGATTGAGAATAAAGCAATAAAAAGAATCTGGTATTAAAAGATTTTCTTTACACCCAAAAGGCAATGCCATGTAAATTTTCATGCAAGCTAAGAAAATTGGCTGAATTATGAGAAAAATTGACGGTGGAAGTCCTTCAAATGGAAAGATAAAACAGGATGACATTTTTTTATTTTTTGGTTGAGACATAAAAAAGAGATCATGGGTGCATTTGGAATTACTAAAGTGTAATAATTATAACTATAATTGTGGTTGTGTTGAATTATATTATTTTATAATTGTAATTAAAAGTTATGTTGGTATTTGATTATTTATTTTTTAAAAGTATTATAAATAAAATATGGTTGATTTTATTAATTATTAATTAAAATTTTTAAAATATTATAAAATATATAATTATTAAAATAAATAATATTTATTATTTTTTAATAATTTATGTTTTTTAGATTTGTTATTATTATTAAAATATTATAAATTATGATGTAATTAAATTATAT